ATGTGGAAAATCTTGTCTTATGGTTGCCTAGCAGGTCGCATTGCACCCCGCCGGGCTTTTGACAAAACTTTTTAATTAAATGCATGACACGCGGCATTTGAAAACGAGATTTCAGTAACTTAGTCCGTGCTCTGTTTCATTGAATAGCGGAAAATACTTCAGAGCTGCAGTTGAATATAAACGCAAATTAAAGCTGATTAATAAAAGAAACAAAGAGCGAGAGAGAGTGAGAGAGAGAGAGAGAGAGTGGGCCACAAAGAGTTAAAGCCGGAATGGAGTTGCTTAAGAACATTATCCAAGTGTTGACATCATATTAAAACAACAGAAATCTGAGGAAAAGAGAGCAAGCAAAAAGTACTATTAATATTTATAAGTTGAGCCAGAGCGAAAAGCCATATGACTGCGGCACGCCGAAGACTGAATACCTAAAATACCCTTAAATATCCTAGCATATATATATATATATATATATATATATATATATATATATATATATATATATATGTTTTTCTATTGGGTTAAAATTGCTCAAAAAGCATACAAGATTTGTATAAACGAACTTTATTTTCGACTCATTCCTCTGACAGTTATACAATATAGTGATTCGACCCGACTGCAGCAGAAGTGTATGCAACAAATAGTTGAAACTAAATAAAGTTTACCTGACGTTAGCTTAAAATCTGTTGACCAGAGTGCTTATAAGCTTTCACATTAGATTAAGAAGCCAAAGCAAAGGCAACGAAAAACTTGTAAAAAGTCCGAATTAAAATAAATACAAAATAGTTGATGAAGCTGATTTATTTCTGAAATGGCAGACATATTCTTGATTGCTGACTTAAATTTGTATCTATTTACTCAGCTAACTCAAGTATTTATATATATATTTTAGGAAACCGCATATAGGAGATATCTGACAAAATACTGGAGATATATGAACAGAAATTGAAAGTAAACAAGCTTAGCAATCTTTTCTATCAGAGCAATTGCATAAAGCATAAAAGTTGCAATGTTTTAAATAAAATAAAAAATTAAAAAAAAGGTGTTCAAATGTATTCCTGTCACAAGGAAGACCAGAAATAACATTGACAACATGTTTTTTTTTAAATTTTTTTTTGTACGTTTTTTTTAATATTCGATGTCTAATTATGAGTTGTTTGTGCGCGTCAGCTAGGGGTAGAATGTGGTAAGAGGGAGGTGGGTGGGGTAGGGAGGTTGGAGTGTTGTGCGTGTGTGTGTGTGTGTTGAATTTCTACATGCAGCCGAAGCTTACTCCGAACGAAAAGCACAGCAAGTGCGTTCAAAAAGCTTTCGGAGCTGGTTAACAGAGCGCTGTTAACGCTTAACAGAGCGGCAAGCAAACAACAGCTAGCGAACAGAGCTTGAGGAAGCAACAGTCGATGCGCTGTATGTCGGCTGCTGCTGCTGCTGCTGGTAAACAATTTAAAATAACGTGTCCTGCTAGCAAGCGACTTCAGTTCCTGTCAAGCCTTTGTCGGTTACGTTTGCCAAGCAGCAACGAGCCGAAGCTAGCCAACTGTGGAAGCCATTAAATTCAACCGCCAAACAGTCAAAGCCAAAAATCTAACTCCAAACAACCAAAAGCTAAAAGCCAAAAGCCAAACCAAGCAGTCGCAAGCGTATTCGAGAACAGAATCCAGCAAACAGAGTACGCCTGAACTCGGCACAACACCCAGAGCTAGCAATCCAATCAGACTAAGCACGCCAATTAATTGGAACTCACGAGCAATTGGAACTCAAGAATAGTGAAAGTCAACTCTAGAAGGTCTTAAGCATTTTTTTTTAACAGTGAGTGAGAACAACTAATAACTTTTTTTTTTATGTTCGAGTGTTTGCAGTGTGATTTAAAAACCTTTTAAAAAATATATAATATATATGTCTATTATGTGGCGGCAGCGCGATAAGAGTTGTGAGTGTGGGAGTGGGCGAGTGTGTGCGAGTGTGTGTGTGTGTGTGTAAGAAGTACGATAATAACAATAACAATAACGGCAAAGGCAGCGGCAGCAGCAGCAATAAGAAGAAGAAGAACAGTTATAAGAGCGCAAGCGACAATCATAACAATCACAAAGGTGATTGGGTCTTGGCTCTGTGTGTGTGTGTGTGTGTGTGTGTGTGTTGGTGTTGGTGTGTGTAGAGGTTCTTCTGTTGCTGCCACTGCCGCTGCCGTTGCTGGGCTGACCGGTTCAGGTATCAGCAGTAGCCGCTATTATAAAGCCATTTTTTATGCTTACCTTGGCGTTTCTCGCTGCGTTTCCATTAAATGCAAACGTTTGCAGCTTTTGCCCTTTGCCATTGCCTCATATATTCATACTTTTGGTCCTTTCGTTTTGCGTTTTCTTCTTTATTTTTATTTTTTTTTTTTTGGGTTAATTTTGGTGCCTTTACATATTTGATGAGCATGTGTGTGTGTGTGGGTGTCTGGGTGTGTGGGTGTGTGGGTGTCAGCTTGTCTACCTCGCACCCACTCCCACTCCCTCGCCCATTAATCTGTCTGTGAAGGACAGTCAAGGTTCGTGTCGCTGCTGGCAAGCGTCTAACAGAGCAGCAAGCGACTGAGAGCAAGCCCGAGCTAGTGCGCCTTTTGTTATATCCCGGCTGGTTGGTGAATCATTCATATGCAAATTGTGGGCAAAACTGACGCTTATGATATGCGCTTTTTTTTTTTTTTTTGTCAAATCGCCAGACCGTCAAGCAGCTGCTCGCTGTGCGCGCTTCATGGTCAGTTTTAGCAGCTGATTGCTTTCATTTATTTATTTGCTTTTATTTTTGTATATATATAGTTTTTTTGGGTTGCCAAACGGCAGTCCGCTGGGGCGCAAAAAGTGTAGCATACTTATCAGCGCTCGCGCTTTTTGGCTTCAATTGTTGACAGATTTGACAGCGTACGCTTTTATTTATGAGCCCGCGCGCTTTTCTAATCTAATCGCTGTTCCCACTTGTCACGCTCATCCGTCCATTCATTTGCCATTCATACTTTATTCACACAGTCTGCGAGTGCTTCAGTCGCAGTTGCTCATTAAATTTGTATCCTTTTCAATTAAATTTCTTTCACTTTGCCGCCGCTGTCGCTGCTCGTTGCCGTCAATCGACCACTTGTTGGTCCTTAGCTAAATGCTGCTATTGATGCCACATTTGAGCGCATGTTAAATTGCTGCGCTTCTCTCTCTTTTGCCAGCTCTTTTTTATTTTGCCTCCAACTTCCTGCACATTTCCATTTCCAATTCTATTTCAATTTCCATTTCCATTTGCATACTTTGCCCACAGCCCACCGCAATGTGGTTGCTGTGGCTCGACCTCAGCTTCTTGGTTTCTTTGCCGTTTAGCATGCACTCGTTAGCATTTAACACCAGCTGCTATACTGTGACACAAAGCACAAAAATATAATTGAGTTTCGAAGTTGATCGTTTTACGAATTTATGAATCAAGCCTCTCAAGTGCATTATGCTAAATATTTTACAAAGTGGATTACAATTGTTACTGACTTGCAGTTTTTCTATAAATTAATAACAGTTACCAGTGTTGTACAGCGCTGCGTCCAACTTTGATAACTTTTGCTGAGGCTAAGCATAGAGATAATATTTAGGATTCGCATTTGAATAATGCTGTTCCAGCAAGTAATTCGAGTATTTCTTAGTGTTATTTTCAACACACTTTTCAGAGATTCTAGCGATTTAATTCATTAAATAGAGTGCAATTGGTCAAACTATCTTAAACAATTACTTGCTTAAGCTAACAGATTGTACTCAATAAAGCTGGCTCTGTATTTTAAGCCCAGCTCACCTATAGTTATAAGGTCGATGGAATTTTAAGTGTTCGAAAGTAACTTAAAGCCTTAACGGAGCAAAATTAAAACGATTTTTTGCTCACTCTTCTAGAGTTAGAGGTAGTAATAGTAAGAATTTAAGAAGCTGTTAGTGCCTGAAAGAAGATAAAAGATTTTTCTATTTCTCGCTCACTTCAGCAGGTTGTAATTCATATTAAACAAATTCTCTAAAAGCTTAAAGAGCTTTTAGTGTTAGAAAGTAGATGAAAGATTTCTCTATTTTGTTGCATGTTGTATTTCAAGCGTGCTTAAGTCTGGTTATAAAACTCAAATAGCTTCTAGTGTTGGAAAGTACATTTATGAGAGCTCTGTGCCAGCTGAAGGTCCCCAGCCAATAAGGTCCCCAAAGCGTGTCCAGTCTAATTAGTTGTAAAATGCATAATGTTCTTTTAAGTTTCAGTTTGAGCTTATGTCATTTAATTGAGATTTTGCAACTTAAAACTTATTGTTGGTGCCGTGGCAACAGAGCAACTTTCGCAACTGTTTCAATTACAAAAAAAAAAAAGTAAAATTTGCTTTTGCGTTGTTTTTAATTTTTGTGTTTTTCCGTTGTTTATTCATTGTTTTTTTTTTTTTTTTGGCTTATACTTATAATTGGCAGCTTAATAAGCAAAACAGAAACGTCAAGCTGGAAAAACCGAAGACAATACTAAGTAGACTTCCAAGGTATCCCCAATTAGTTTTTATTATGTTTTCTGTTCATTTGTGTATTTTATTTCTGTGCCTGGGTTCCACTAATATTGTGACCGGGGCAAGGGCAAGGGCAAGGGCAAGGGCAAGGACAACGGCAAGGGCAAGGGCAGGGGCTTTATTAAAAAGCAATTGCAGCACACTCACGCCTTACGCCTTACGCCTCACGGCTCACGACTCGCGCCTAGCGCCTCACACTGCCACACCCACTTTCAGGCGCTAACGCATAGTTCGCTTCGTGCAGCAGCTTGCGGCAAGGGGCACAAAAGACGCATCGAACCCAAAGCGACTGTTGAATCCAAATCAGATACCAAATTCGTAAACAAAACAAGAGAATGTCTGAGCAACAGGAGACAACCAGCGGCAGCCAGAGCCAGAGTCAGAGTCAGAGCCAGAGTCAGAGCCAGAGCCAGAGTCGATCGACGCCATCGGAGTCGCCGGCACCGCCAGTGACCGAGGAGCAGGATGCGCCCAGCAGCAGCAACAGCAACACCAGCGCTGGCATGGTTGATGGCGATCCCGATGCTATTCGCCAGGGCTGCGATTCGGACCTGGAGCAGGACAGGGAAAGGGAGCCGCATACCGAGAGGTGAGTCCACATGCACATAATTTATACATATTTATATTACTATATATAATAATATATACATATTATATATATTTTGTATACATATATACAATACATACTCTTAAGTGTCTTTGTATGCGTGTTAATACAGTTCCCTGCGTTTGCTGTTCCTCTGTTAAATATCCATTAGCTAATTGGGCCATCTGCCCAAAGGGCCCAAATGAGAAACTTTCTCACAATGTACATATATATGGGCACATTAAGATAACATATGCCCACCAATGTATATCTGTATGTGTGCGCAATACACCTGCAAGTACATAATGCCCAAATAAAGTTATACAGAATACCTTCATTGAGACTTTCATGTGAATAATGTTCATTATATAACTGCCCTTCATAAAAACACTATAAAAACCCATATTCGGACAAGAAGCATCAAAATTTTCAACTTAAACAAGACTCTGATTAAATTGTCTTGCATAATTATATTTCAATAATAATAGCAATATAATACACACATATATATATACATATATATATAAACCCTAAGCTAAGATCTCTAAAATCCTGTTTTATGCGCATCCTTCTCTGTGAATCTACATATATGTTATATATATGCCGAACCTGTTGAGTTCGAAGATAACATTTTAATTGAAATATGGTTTTTTACAATACTCGGGCACTACGAGTTTGCAATGAGGCACATTTTTTGACAGTCAGGGCTAACAGAAAGAACACAATTTCAAATATGGTAACGCCTTGTCAATAAGGTGGCAACGACAAGCTCCATACGAGTGATGTTACAAGGTGGCAATACTGTCACTTGTATATTTAACAGCTAGATTAACTGGCAGCTAAACTTAAAAATATTGAAAGAATGCCTATGTTCGGCACGCCGCAAATTAAATATCCTCGTAGACATAAGGCTGAGAAGTACTTGGTACCAAAGCTTTATTTCCGACCGATTGGGTCGATACGGCCGATATGTGTGGAGGAAACAGATAGGTTTTGGCAGCTCTGGCTATCTGATATATCAGTTCGATCTGCGCGATTCCAATATCAGCTGGAAGAGCATATGCAAAGTTGTCTGTCAATAGCCTCGGTCTGAGAGGCTAGTCAGCATAGAAACAGACAAATGAATATCGACTTGGCTGTTGACGCTGTTCAAGAATATATAAATATACTTTATGGATTCAACTGCCATGCGTCAGACAAACCGTGACATAGTTAAGTCGAGAAGTTTATAAAATTGTGTTGAAGTGCTTGTGTTAACTCCTACAGAAAAATGTGACCGCCGCCGCAGGCACTTCAGGCAGGTAAAGTGCAAAAGCTTTACCCAGACTATTACACTTATGGTTGACAGCATTAAGGACGATGGGGCTTATTTGGTTTACAAGCAATATTATCCTGCATTTCATGGGCATCCTTAGGTACTTTCTGAACATTTCAAATTGCACTCGAAACTTGAGCCTGGAAAATTCGCCCGAACTCTGAATGTGCCATTTGATTTTCCGACTTCAGTGCTGGCTATGAATTAAAAAAAAAAAAATGAAAAAAGCAAATTCCCATGCCTGTTGCACATGTTTCCTTTTTGTTTGCCAACTTGAAACTTTTGGGGCTTGCCCCGATATGAGAGCGCCTGTCCACAGCTCAAGTGTGTTGTGCCGCAAAATTGAAATTTTCAAAATTTTCAATATTCATAAATCGGCAACAAAATTCAATATCCAGTTGCTGCTTTGCATGCTTGGACACACACTTTAGACATGCTCCTATTCAATTATTTTGCTCGATCCTGTATAAGTTACGGTCTACATTTCGAATATATAATTTGTGCACAAGCGATGTTTCTGTACTTGACAATTTGATTGCTGATGAGCTGCTTTTAGAGTATTGCCACAGTCGTTGCCAGAGAGCGTGCCACTTTTTTGCCTACTCAGTTTCTTGTTAATTATGTGCTAATTAGTTGACACACGCGCTCGCCTTAGGCGCCAGTCAAACAGTTGTGGCCAGTTGCCGGGGCAACTTGTGCTTTACATTGGCTTAAACCCTTCAAGGTAGCAGGTTCTCGCACACACTGTTCCACGAAAAGCGAAAGGGAGTTGCTTTTGGCTTAACGCTGAAAACGCTTTGTACCCCACACAGGTTAAAAGGCGGCAGGTTGATAAACATCAGACTTGGCTAGCTGATGACTTTTTCAAAAACGTATTGTCAGGGCAAATCTAATGGTTTACGGTTTGAACCAGCGACCTGCCTACAGGTTAGGTTCTTAAATCAGGTTTACCACATTCCGAATCTAGATTTTGGCTTCCTAAGCTGGTGAATTTTTCAAAAACGAACTGTCAGGGCAGATACAAAAAGAAGTCCAGTGGCTTACGGTTAGAACCAGCGCCCTGCCTTTAGGTTAGGTTCTAAGTTAAGGCTTACTACATTTAGAATCTAGATTTCGACTTAAGCCCTGCCTCCTTCAATTCAATTTTTAATTATCAGTCAGTTAAAAGTCGGCTTTAAGTGCGATTCATGATAATGAAATAATAATTGATAGATAATTCCAACCGATATAAGGACTCTCGTGAGATTTCAAATGCAACGCTTTTATCCGTTTCACTTGCAACAAGCAAAACAGTTGTCACCGTTTGTTTTCGCCCATTTTAAGCTCGGTTACGTGGTTACGAGCATGTCGTCTGCATTAAGGCAAAGGAAGGTTTTACCTGAAAGCCTTTACCTGGCCCGAGCAGGGATCTTCACGCATACATATATATATATATATATGCATGTATATATGCATGATATATTGATAAGGGTATGTAGATATTTGGATATTCGTTTTATCGAAGCTGGCATCCTGTTCGTCGATTTCCTGCATCTGCTCCTCCTCCTCCAAGTCGTTGGGCTAGGCCAGCACGCAGTTGGAAAAAATGAAACTTTAAGAGCATTTTACATAGATGTTGAACTTGAAGTTGAAGTAAAAGTCGCCAGACACGGTTTTCCATTGACTCATTCATTCCTTTATTAACTAAACTTTTTATACGTTTTTACCAAGCTTTTAGATCTTTTCAAATGAACTTAAAACCGTTCGAATTGTGTACAAACAAGTTTCATGCAGTCGCTTTTCACTGATTTTCCACGCGTGCACGTGGAAATTTTACTGCCAGCGGCATTTTTACATTGATTTGCCTTTGTATCGTAAAAATGCATCTGCTACGATGGAAGAAATTAAGTGTAAATGTGTTTTTCTCCTCTCATACGTAATTAAAAGTTTTCCTAATTATGTGGAATGCAATATGATGGGCGAAAAATGGGTGGCGGGCAGATGTATTAAACAGTGTCGTGTTATATAAGCTGATGATGAGGGACTTGCCGATCTTTTTGAATACCTTCACATTTAAGCAAATTAATATGTAAGCTAAGGCAGCTTGATGCATACTGATAATTCCACAAGGAATAGTCCATGCTTTGATTTCCACCTGAGCTGCATCTCGTGGCGAGCCAGAACTGTAACCAAAATTTTTTATCTGTGCTCGCATGAGGCGTATATTATTTCAAGAGATTTTCAGTCTGGCCGCCTCTCTTTCGCTCCAACCACGACTCTGTTCCTGGACTGCCTTGCGGCTGGGCCTGTGTTATGCTTAAAAAGCTAATAACTAAACATTTTTTCTAATAACAATTTGGCAAATATTCGACGGGCTGGTGATAGCCAGCGCTGGGCAGAGGCGCAGCGACAGGAAAAGGGACTGCGACGGCAGAGGGATAGAAACAGGCCTTGTCGCTTTTCAGCAGCTCGTTGGGCAGTCAAAACACGTGCGATTCTTGTGGGTGCTTGTTGGGCATGTGGCTGGGCGGTGTGTTCGTCGGGTTCTGGTGACCACGCCCTGCTAATGATGTGGTTAATGTTTTGGATTTTCTCATCATTTTCGAACATCCTGCGAGATATTGAGATGGGCAACAGAGCGTAAGGCATGAACTCAAAGGCAACTAGATGGATAGAAGGCAAATAAATATATGCGCACTACAAAGCTGTTGCTAGAAACATTTTAATTATGCTGTCAAATCCTTGACGAACGTCGACATATTTGGAATATGCTGATTTTTGTTGGTCCTTGCCGGGCTGCGATATATGCCACCTGTGCCGTATCCCGGCAGCTGTTTGTATTGCTTATGCGCTTTTGCAAGAAAATTGATGTGGCAAAAGTCAACATGGGATTTGACATATGACCAGCCAAACGCCGACCGAGCCAACCCCCGTCCAAGGCTGGCGCCTTTTGCCAGCCAACTTGTCATTGTTAAGCCATTTGTTAGCCGAAGGCAACGAGGCTTCGACTGCAATCTGCACAGCACTAGGCCAAAGCGCAGCGACAGCTTCCCCATGCATCAATCTCAGGCAAGACTAAGCCAGCGCGGCTAGCTTTGAGTCGGTTAGTTTGAGATGGGATCAAAATAAACTGCAATTTTCATTATAAGCAATTCAGTTAGGGAATCTCTTAACATTAAAGCATAAATACCCTTGACGACATGTGGCCAAGATGGTTGTTATACCAAGAATTTGGCACTTTCCAATTGGTAATCCGCTTTGGAATTGGATTGATATGTTGTAGTAGCTCGATGTTGATATGATTTTGGTCGCAAGGCAAGACATGTGCATGTGCCCAGTTAACAATATTAAGGGCAGGAGCTGAGCGCTTCATTGTGGATTGATATAGCTGTCCGATCTAAGCATTTACCTACTATATAGTTGATCAGTAATTACAGCTGAGTCGATAGAGTTAAGCTCAAGACTTGACTGGAATTTGGATTCTTGTCCATCATATCTAGCTCTTTTCTCAATTATCGATAGATATCGATTCTCTATCCTCTAAGGCATAAATAACCTTGAGTAAAAACGCATTCTTAGGTTTTTGATTTCTAGCTAATCCCTAGAATCACGATAAACTGTATTTCAAGGACATCCTTGCTATCCTTTGGCATACCCATAGTCGAAGTTTCTACAACATCGGCCCATTATATATATATATATGCAATAG